AGTGTCTGTCATTACTGCTGTATTCAGTACAGGATAAACAGTTTGGTAGAACCAGTCTTAAGCTTTATACAAACCATTCATATTGAGTCGTGTAACATGACTTGTCTTGTAAGGATTTATTCTACGTTTATTCTGATCATAAAGTGGGCTCTTCAAACAGTCAGGCTCTGAGGGTAGTTGTAAATTCACTGCACATATAATTTTATATGCAAATTCAACCAGTAGATGAGTGGGTCTCAGGGATGGGGCAGCAAACTTACCTTCTGAAGGTTCAATGTTCACGTTCACAGGGAATGCAACTGCAGATTTTTATGCATCGAAGTGAAAGCATTTTTACTTACCTCCATAAACACAACCAACATGTATTCTTTCAACATGCTACTGAATTTTATTGTTTGGTGTTCTGAAATATTCAAGATAGGTTTTTAAAAAAGGACAACAATTTCCAGAATTTACTCCCAATCCAATTATTTTTTTCATGTTTTTCATCCCACATATTAAAATTCTGAAATATTTTCAAATTATTTGTTAACTGAATTTACAATGTGACTCTTCTGCAGATGCTGTTTTATATGTTCTCATATACTTCATTTTATTTACACCCTGTACATATTCTGAGTGCAGTGCTGTACTGAACACAGGGATGTTACTTATTTTTATTTCTTTACTGGTTGTACTAAAGCCATCAGGATGCAGCTAGGGTCAGTCAATTCCAGTCGTTCCTGACAGCATGGTGTGAAGCAGAAATATGTATCGGCGAGGATGAAAGCTGAACTAGTTGGCTGCATCGTCATAGATGCATACAGCCTCAGGTGACCTCAAGCTCTGTTCAGGACATTAATGTTCTGCCCATATTGAACTGCATTTTCCTGTGACAATGCAAGGCTCATAGCGGATCAATCTCTCCTGCATCAGAGGAGTCGACTGACCTGTATGGATCTATCAAATAAAACCCTTGACAATATGTGTAAAATTCTTATTTACCCTTACATGAGTCATATGTATCTGTACAGACATCCTTAGGGTGTACACAGAACAGGTTTTCTTAAAACATGAAGCAAAAGAAATAATCGGCTCTGAAGAGTATTTATTAAAATAAATTACTAATATCCCACCCAGAAGAATCCAAACAGCCTCACATACATCAGAATGTTTATATTTGCTTCAGTGCATATAATTTTTGGATAAAATGAATGTAAAATATCTTGCAACAGTGTAAGTCCTAAACTGTTAAACATTCTATGGATTATGTTACAATTCAACAAGGTGGTTCATATTGCTTTCACTATGCTGCAACCCATCTGTCTTTACCATAGCCAAGCTATGGCAGTCATACTTCCATAAACTTGTATTACAGAATTCTACATCAATACGATGCCTAAACTGTCCACCATGGCTTGTCAGATTAATGAGGAATTAGCTGCCAAGAAATTTCTAACTGTACCAATTAGAAAAATACCTTAACATCTCCCCACCAACCCCCAAAACTGCAGCAGTTCCTATCCAGTTTACACTTACAATTACCTCTGCAATCAGACAGCAACTTACATATCCTACACAGACATTCTGAGTATCATGTTTGATTTTGAATTGAATTGAATTTATTTACATTCTATAAATCCTAAGTAGGTTAGTACCTTTGGATACAGAACAAGTCAAAAGGTTACATACATAAGTACAGGCAATTTTAGCTTAAAAATTAATATAACTTAATTTTACATCATTCTCTATTTACATTGAAGTATTCATCTAAAGAGTAGAAGGAATGAGCATGTAGATAATTCTTTAACTCTGATTTAAACTTTTTAGTATCATTGCCCAAGTTTTTAATACTTTGTGGCAGATTGTTGAACACTTTTATGCCAGTAAAGTAGACTCCTTTTTGATATACTGATAAAGTTGATGAGGGTAGGTGGAAGTTATATTTTTGTCTAGTATTCATGTTATAGACATCAGAATTTAATTTGAATTTATCTTTGTTGTAAACAACAAATAAGAGAAGCGATAATATGTATTGCAATTGAAGAGGTAGAATTTTTAATTTCTTAAATAATTCTCTACATTTGATATTTTCATGGCAATGTCTATAAGGAGTTAGGGCCCTGCGTTGTGGCAACGTGTAGTTTGGAGATGGCCCAATGTTTAGGAAGAATATGACACCTCCAAAATACAGGGCTCTCTCCAAACTACACATTGCTACAACTCAGCATGCTGTACTCTTCATTCCAAGTACCAGCCGTAGCCTCCTCAATATCGCCATGCAATTCAGAAGTATTGACAAACGCAGAACACCCAACTCTCAGTTCTCAATTCCTACACCTAACTCCCATGTCAAATCAAAACCAACTGTTATCTACTCATGACTGTGTATTCCTTGTATATGCAATTACAATGTATACTCTCTAAGTGAACAAGTCTTCAGCTAAGATCTTCCATAGGAATATGGCTGTAACCCCGAAGGGTTTACTCTTCTGGGATGTGACACCATGTAGTCTGGTACAATGTTACCAACATTTCTGAGGAATGTGAGATCTCCATCTTCAGGGTCTTATCACTTTACATGTTCCTCCAAAGTGGTGGTAACATTCTACCAGTCTACATGGCCTCACATCTAAGAAGACAACAGTTTTTCAACTTATCAGGTGTTAAGAAAAGCTCACTGTTAATTAATCCAGTTTGTCATATGCTGATACTGTATGCAGATATGAGAGCCACAGTTTACAGGATGAGTTCTGGGAAAGAGATATCATTGGCTGTACTTTATTTAATAAAAACTAGCAAAAGAGAGGTAAGGTGCTAGCATACAGTGTCCATTTTATGTATACACAAAAACTTTACCAAACATTTGTAACTTCTAACTCTTCTATAAGACATACATGAAAGTGATTTAGACCAACCAAAGTGGAAGCTGATATAATGCTTTAGACAGGTTTCATTATGGAACTCCCACATCACACTCCATCAAAATGCGTGTTGCCTGCGAGAACTGCAACATACAACAATGGGAATATAGACACAGTTCTGTCACAGAAACTGCTAAATTTTCTGAGCTATGAATATCAGCTTTGTCATGCTATCATTACACGCACCAGCAGTATTAATGACCTGGGTGTTTTGTTTGATTCAAAGCTTCATTTCATATGCATGTTAATTACATATATTCTGAATACATAAAGCTATTAGGCCTTATTTGCTCCATTACCTACAGATTTTCCTCCCTGGAGTGTCTGTATGTACTATACTTTACTTTAGTCAGGTCCAAGTTGGAATATGCCTCGGGAGTTTGGAACTCCATCACCTCAACTGATGCCAATAAGCTTGAGCACATCCAGCAGAAGTTTGCATCTGTCTGTTTTGTTTTTTCCCTCATATTCCATATACTTATACTGATGCTTTAGAGAACCTAAGTCTACATTCTTTACATAAATGGAGACATCACCTTGATGCACTTTTTTTTTTTTTTGTTCAGGTCTTTGTTCTTAAATCCTATGCTTCTCTTTTGGAAAATGTTAGCTTTCATGTTCCTCCCAGAAATCTTACAGACTTCTCATTGTTTGGTGTTTGTCCATCTAAGAGACACTGTCCTTCTACTTGATGCAGAAGGGTGGCTGGCGCGTAAGGCTGACGACCGTCCCGCCATTTGTGAGCTGATTGCCTAGAGAAAATGTGGGAGCCTCGACATCTGACAACCCTAGGGGCCTCCACAGCCTGTTACAGGGATAGCTTTACCTCTCAAGTTCTTTCATTTATAAGGAATGACAGAACTACTATGGTTTAGTGATTACTTCCTTGCAGTATCCACCAGATTTGAATATACAAACAAATTTACACAGTATCAGATTTTAATCTTTCACAATGGTGAAAATCTTATTCAGGTCTCCTAAGTTATGATACTGTGTTGCCTGGTAGATGGTTACCAGAAAACATACTGCCCCTGGCTTCAACAGACCAGCAGAAAACTTTGGTAACCATGTCATAAGCTAGAAGACCATGAATGAATTTTACATAAAACCTCATATCAGGCATAATGTTACTTTGCAGCATCCTGTTGCACTGCTTAGATCTGACTTTGCATTTTGCTTTGATGCCATCTGCGTGCAACATTAGTTAACATTCTCTCAGTTTTCTCTTTGTAGTCACTACATGTTTCGGCCTAACTGACCATCTTCAGGCGTATAGGTTGTTGTGATCAAGGAACCTGCTGTTCACTGTAATGCTGTTCTGTTTCTGTTATGTAGAGGCCTCGGATTGCATCTGGTTATGTGGGTTAACCATCCGTTTTTTGTTTAGATGTCCTTGAGCTGAGCATATTTGTTGTGCTGTGGTTGGCCATGAACACAACAAATTCCCACGCAAGCAAGAACATTCAAGACAGCCACAGCGAAACAAAACCATGAAGCAAACACCAGCAGCTCATGGACAGATGACTAACCCACATAACCAGATGCAATCCGAGGTCTCCCCATAACCGAAACAGAACAGCATTACAGCGAGCAGCAGATTCTGCAATCACAGCAACCTGTACACCTGAAGATGGCTGGTTGGGTCGAAACATGTAGTGTCAATAAAGAAATCCAAGTGAATAGTAACCGATGTTGCACATCGATGGCATCAAAGCAAGACACAAAGTCGAATGATATGCATATGTGTTACCCTCCTGTATGAAAACATAGTAAAGCAAGAGAGGCAGTTTGTTGGACACATAAATATCAATCTGACATGGTCACACACATCAAACTGACATTTCTTCCTGTAATACTGTAATAGTATCTTCCTGTCATATTTTGGTCTTGACATGCAGAGATTTTGACTTCGGTCCTGACTTGCACAGATTTTCACTTTAGTCTTGACATGCACAGATTTTCATTCCAGTCCTGACATGCACTGATTTTCACTTCAGACTCGACATGCAGAGATTCTGGTGGCATAGCTGCAAGAGAAAAGGCTATCTGAAAGAGCCATTCATGGATGATAGGACAGCATAATGGATGTCAGAGAAATGCTGGAACTTGCTCATTATGACTGTACAGCAACAACTCCTTCCTCTTATGGCAGACGACTCACTTGAGGTCTCATGCTGGTGAGTTGCAGGCCTGAAACAATTACATGAACAGCATTAAAAACCAGATTCTGACTTGCATGCAAATCTGTATGTACAATTTCAAACTTGATCCACTTTCAATTTCAACAAAATGTAAAACTTCTATGTGGCTTGCAATGACACAAAAAATTTATGGTTGCATAACATTCCTGCATGCTTATACTTGGAACCTCCACTCCCCCCAAACACACACACACACAAACATGTTTGCTGATACTCTCAGGTCCAGTTTTCGCCTCAAGACTGAAAAATACAGTGCAATGGTAAATGTGTGAGATACTTTTGACAAGCTTGTCAATACAGATCAAGTATTTGCTTGTATACATGCTGGACTAAAGAAAAGGTACTAATAAGACCCATACACTAAGTAAATTTTGTTCAAAGATATCTCCATATTAGAAAACTGTAAAAATATATAAAGGTAAGCCTTCAGCTCCTTAGAAATGAAAAGAGGAAACAATTGCATTGAGATGAATATTTCCATCGTATATTTCTTTCATATTTAATATTGGTACGTAATTAATTTTCTCACTGCAAAATTTTGTATCTGGTGGTGAATGACGCGGCGGCCACGACAAAGCAGTATTCAACCTTGCTTCAGAAATGACGCGAGGAACCTGGAAAATGTCTACCGTGTACCAGGACAATAGGATATAGTAGGAGGTATTTGAGAATTCAAATTGATTTTGGTGCAGAAATTTTTCATACTTGCGGCGAGGAACCGGAACAAAAACGAAGTCATAATAGCGATTATATTCTCACTTGTTCATTGAATGTCGTGAACAAAAAAGGATACCTTATCAAGAATGAATGCATATGAAGCCTAAATAAGAATTACAAACACACTAACTCCCATATACACAGTAATTAAAAAACGATCCATTTTATATTACTTAAGTCATCCGGGTTAATGGGATCGAAGTTTAAAGTAATCTCTGTGTTTTAGGTAAATATTAGATTTAAAAGCATTCCCCCATAACAATCGTGATATTTATTACACTAGCTGTAGGAGCTTAATTCTCTATTTGTTAAGTTCCTCTTTTGTTTCTTCTAGTTCCTGTTATTTCAGAATTACCTACCAGAGTGCACTCCTATCGATGTGTAGGGGGTGAATTGGATGTTACGCTCACTGCCACAAGATGGCACTACATAACAATTCCGGTGGGTGGGGTGATGCATAGTGTTTTAACTGAGAGAGGATTGTGAATTTCATAGCTAGTGTAGGTGACCGGAAGATATTGGCTGATGCAATATTTGGAGGGTAAATGTAACGAATATACTGAAAGACTTATACAGTCAGAAGATGCAGAATACGTAATGAAATCATTGCTTGAAGCACAAGTATTGCATCGTTTGAAAAATTCCTCTTCCTGTAACAAGCTGATTTTTTAAATTACGTTCACGATAAGTTCTAGTTTCCTTTTTTATTAATAAAATAAAAGCGGAAACAATTGCGTTGACATGAATATTTCTATCGCATATTTCTTTCATGTTTACTATTGGTGCGTAATGCATTTTCTAATTGCAAAATTTTGTATCCCGTGGTGAATAACGCGGCGGCCACGAGATGGCAGTAGTCAACCTTGTTTCAGAAATGACACGAGGAACCAGGAAAATGTCTGCGTGTACCAGGATAATAGGATATCGTAGGAGGTATTTGGTGCTCCAATTGATTTTGATTCAGAAATTTTTCTTACTTGTAGCAAGGAACCGGAACTGAATTCGAAGTCATAATAGCGATTTTATTCGCACTCGTTCATTCAATGTCGTCAATAAAAAAGGATACCGTATAAAGATCGAAAGCATTTAAAGCTTAAATAGGAATTACAAACCCACAATCTACGATATAGCCAGTAATTAAAAAACACTCAATCTTACATTACTTAAGCCACCTGGGTTAATGAGATCGAAGTTTAAAGTAATTTCGTTGTTAAGGCTAAAAATTAGAATTCGAAAATATTCCCCCANCACAATTAAATCATCTCTTGTAGCACAAGTATTGCATCGTCTGAAAAATGCCTTTTCCTGTAACAAGCTGATTTTTTGGAAATACGTTCACGATATGTTTTGCCTTCCTCTTTCATTAATGAAATTAATGTGGAAAGAAATTCGTTGAGATGTATATTTCTATCGTATATTTCTTTCATATTTAATATTGGTACGTGTTTCATTTTCTCGCTGCTAAATTTTGTATCTGGTGGTGAATGAAGCGGCGGCCACGAGATGTCACTCAAACCTTGCTTCAGAAATGACGCGAGAGACCAGGAAAATGTCTGTCGTGTACCAGGATAATAGGATATCATAGGAGGTATTTGGTGCTCGAATTGATTTTGGTTCAGAAATTTTTCATACTTGCAGCAAGGAACCGGAACTGAATTCGAAGTCATAATAGCAATTGTATTCGCACTCATTCATTCAATGTCGTCAATAAAAAAGGATACCGTATAAAGATCGAAGGCATATGAAGCAGGTAATAAGTTCCGGTCACCTACATTAGGTGTGAAATTCACAATACTCTCTAAGTTAAAACGCTATGCATTACCCCACCCACCGGAATTGTTCTGTAGTGCCATCTTGTGGTAGTGAGCGTAACTATTAGCAACAGCNATACACGGTGCCAAATCCCAGAAGACTGCTTTGTTCATAGTCACCCCGTGAAAGCCTCAAATCTTACATAGTGTAATAAATATCACGATTATTATGGGGGAATGCTTTTAAATCTAATATTTACCTAAAACACAGAGATTACTTTAAACTTCGATCTCATTAACCCGAATGACTTAAGTAATAAAAAAATTGATTGTTTTTTAATTACTGTGTATATGGGAGTTAGTGTGTTTGTAATTCCTATTTTGGCTTCATATGCATTCATTCTTGATACGGTATCATTTTTTGTTGACGACATTCAATGAACAAGTGAGAATATAATCGCTATTATGACTTCGTTTTTGTTCCGGTTCCTTGCTGCAAGTATGAAAAATTTCTGAACCAAAATCAATTTGAACTCTCAAATACCTCCTACTATATCCTATTACCCTGGTACACGACAGACATTTTCCTGGTTCCTCGCGTCATTTCTGAAGCAAGGTTGAATACTGCCATCTCGTGGCCGCCGCGTCATTCACCACAGGATACAAAATTTTGCAATTAGAAAATGCATTACGTACCAATATTAAACATGAAAGAAATTTACAATAGAAATATTCATCTCAACGCAATTGTTTCCACTTTTATTTTATTAATAAAAAAGGAAGCTAAACTTATCGTGGACGTAATTTCAAAAAATCAGCTTGTTACAGGAAGAGAGACTTTTCAGACGATGCAATAGTTATGCTTCCAGAGATGATTTCATTACGTATTCCGGATCTTCTGACTGTATAAGTCTCTCAACATATTCGTTACGTTTACTCTCCAAATATTGCATCAGCCAATATCTTCCGGTCTCCTACATTAGCTGTGAAATTCACAATCCTCTCTAAGTTATAACACTGCATCACCCCACCCTCCGGAATTGTTATGTATTGCCATCTGGTGGCAGGGAGCGTAACTATTAGCAACATCCAACTCCCCCGCAAGGCTTCGATAGTAGTGCACTCTGGTAGGTAATTATGAAATAACAGGAACTAGTTGACTCAAAAGAGTTACTTAATAATAGGAAAGAGCATTGTGCTCATAAAACTAATGTAATAAATATCACGATTATTATGGGGGAATGCTTTTAAATCTAATATTTACCTAAAACACAGAGATTACTTTAAACTTCGATCTCATTAACCCGGATGACTTAAGTAATATAAAATGGATTGTTTTTTAAGTACTGTGTATATGGAAGTTAGTGTGTTTATAATTCCTATTTAGGCTTCATATGCATTCATTCTTGATAAGGTATCCTTTTTTGTTGACGACATTCAATGAACAAGTGAGAATATAATCGCTATTATGACTTCGTTTTCGTTCCGGTTCCTTGCTGCAAGTATGAAAAATTTCTGAACCAAAATCAATTGGCGCACCAAATACCTCCTACGATATCCTATTATCCTGGTACACGTCAGACATTTTCTTGGTTCCTCGTGTCATTTCTGAAGCAAGGTTTGAATGTCAACTCGTGGCCGTCGCGTCATTCACCACCAGATACAACATTTAGCAGCGAGAAAATGCATTACGTACCAATATTAAATATGAAAGAAATATACGATAGAAATATACATCTCAACGAATTCCTTTCCACATTAATTTCATTAATAAGAGAGGAAGACAAAACTTATCGTGAACGTAATTCAAAAAAATCAGCTTGTTACAGGAAAAGGAATTTTTCAAACAATGCAATACTTGTGCTTCAAGCAATGATTTAATTACGTATTGTAGAACTTTTGACTGTATAAATCTCTCAATATATTCGTTACGTTTACTCTCCGAATATTGCATCAGCTAATATCTTCCGGTCACCTACATTAGCTGTGAAATTCACAATCCTCTCTAAGTTAAAATGCTATGCATCACCCCACCCACCGGAATTGTTCTGTAGTGGCATCTTGTGGCAGTGAGCGTAACTATTAGCAACATCCAACTCACCCCCTAGACATCGATAGTAGTGCACTCTGGTAGGTAATTCTGAAATAACAGGAACTAGCAGAAACAAAAGAGCAACTTAATAAAAAGAAAGAGAATTAAGCTCCTACAGCTAGTGTAATAAATATCACTATTATTGAGGCGGAATATTTTCGAATTCTAATTTTTAGCTTTAACAGCGAAATTAGTTTAAACTTCGATCTCATTAACCCGGATGGCTTAAGTAATATAAGATCGATTGTTTTTTAATTACTGGCTATGTAGTAGATTGTGGGTTTGTAATTCCTATTTAACCTTCAAATGCTTTCGTTCTTTATACGGTATCCTTTTTTATTGACGACATTGAATGAACGATTACGAACAAAATCGCTATTATGACTTCGATTTCAGTTCCGGTTCCTTGCTGCAGGTATGAAAAATTTCTGAATCAAAATCAATTGGAGCACCAAATACCTCCTGAGATATCCTATTATCCTGGTACACGACAGACATTTTCTTGGTCCCTCGCATCATTTCTGAAGCAAGGTTGTGTACTGACATCTCGTGGCCGCCGCGTGTCCTTCACTGCCAGAAACATCATTTAGCAGTGAGAAAATGCAGTATGTGCCAATTTAAATATGAAAGCATTGTACGATAAACATTTGTATCTCAACGTCTTTCTTTCCACATTTATTTTATTAATAAAGAATGCAGTAAAAATTTATCGTGAATGTAATTCTAAAAAATCTAACTTGCTAGAGGAAGAAAATCTTTTTAGACTAAGAAATACTTGTGCTTAAAGCGTTGATTTCATTACATATTGTGGATCTTCTCTCTGTATAAGTATCTGAATTTATTCGCATCGTTTACTCTCCGAATATTGCATAACTACATGAGCCGCGAAATTAACAACGCTCTCTAAATTGAAAGGCTATGTATCATCCCACCTACCGGAATTACTATGTACTGCAATCTGGTGGCCGACATCGCAACATCCTGCTGCCTCCACGCATCGACACTAGTGCACTCTGGTAAGCACTCCAGAAATAACTGCAACTAGCAGACTCAAGAGGCCGATCACGGTAGCCGAGCTGTCTAAGTCGTGCACTGTCTTCG